GAGAAGGCGACGACGGAAGTTTCGAATCGTCGTGGGTGTTCTCCGAACTTTCCGGCGTCTGCTAGGCTGAGCTTCTTTCTGCGGAGGCGTTCGGCGGCGGAATCACCTCTGGAGCTTCGCAGAACTCGCCATTCGACTCTTCACTGGCAGAGACTTCGAGGGTGACAATTTTCTTTCGATTAGTATTATGCTAACGCGAGGCATGGTTGCGCTAGGGTTTCGAAGTTCTCACAAAGAAGGGAAAGGAAGTTCTTGGATGTTTATGAGGGAGAGAGAAGACAGTTATGAAGCGGAGTGAGGGAAGATAGTGGGGGATTGTGGGTCTTAAAAAGGGAAACGAAAAAACGGGATTTTCATTTATCCCAAAAATCCCAATTCAAAATTTCCCTCCCAAATCAAAAGAAATTTCCCAAATCATCATAATTAGTTTCCCTTCCCCAAATCTTGGAAAAGACAAACCTCTTTATTTTAAATGTTGTGGTCGTTTTTTTGCCTTAAATAGCCCACCTGCACACCTGCCACACTGCCGCACTACCACCTGTTCTCTGCCTACGCTAGTGACAGCTCCTCATTACTGCTGTCGCCAACCTTTAATTGTCGACTGCTCTAACTTGACTTCAACCTTATCCCTCAACCTAACAAAAATAACCAAATTAAATTATGAAGATGATATGAGAAGAAATTAAACTATACAATGAGGAATTAAATTTATGGGAGCATAAAGATGATTTAGCATTGAATTCTGCTCCTTTATTCCTCTATTGAATTTCCTCAGTCTATTGCGAAGTGGTGAGCTCCAACGTCGTGCATCACGCTTCCTCCATAGAAATGTTTCAGCCTTTACCCGTTGATTGTAAATTCCCGTCCTGAATCCATTTCTTACACTTTGATAGCTCCATGAGGGTACGCATTCTGGGCCATCGCTTTGTTTTCTCGTTATAGATTTTGGCTAATCATCTCTTTGAAACTCTTCCAACTCTAGCAATTGCAAACGCCTCACTTCTCCTGCTGCAGCATAATCCAGATTCAGCTTCTTTATGGCCCAGAATGTTTTATGTTCCAGCTCTAACGGCAAGTGACATGGTTTCCCAAAAACCAATTTGTATGGAGAAGTTCCCAAGGGTGTTTTGAATGTAGTGCGATAAGCCCATAAGGCATTATCCAACTTCATTGACTAGTCTTTTCTATTTGTTCTCACAACCTTCTCTAAAATGCTTTTGACCTCCCTGTTGGATATCTCAGCTTACCCATTCGATTGAAGATGGTAAGTTGTAGGCACTTTATGTCTGATATTGTACTTAGCAAGAAGATAGGTTATAGCTTTTTTAATGAAGTGGGAGCCTTCGCCACTGATCACAGCTCTGGGAGTGCCAAACCTTGTAAATATATGCTTGTGCAAAAATTTGGCGACCACTTTGGCGTCACTACTGGTGCATGCCACTGCTTCGACCCATTTGGATACATAGTCAACTGCTAACAAAATGAACAAATGTCCATTTGATGAAAGGAAGGGYCCCATGAAATCCATGCCCCATACATCGAAGAGCTCCACCTCTAAAGTGTATGTGAGAGGCATTTTCGACCTCTTGGAGATGTTTCCAACCCTCTGGCATTCGTTCTAGTGTTGTACCAATTCGTAGGCATTCTTGAAAATAGTCGGCCAGAAGTACTCACTCTGGAACACTTTTGCCGCTGTCCTCTTCCCTCAAAAGTGCCCACCATATGGTGCAGAATGTCATTTGGTCAGCATTTGATGTGCTTCAGCATTGACAATGCATCTCCTGATCATTTTTAATTTGGACAAGTGGTTAGCAACCAAATTTTTCGTTCCCTTATTGTCCTTGATTTCTATGTCGAACTCTTGTAACAGCAAAATCCAACGAATTAACCTCGGTTTAGCGTCCTTTTTGGTGAGCAGATATTTCAACGCTGCATGATCTGTATAGACAGTCACCTTGGATGCCACCAGATACGCTTTGAACTTCTCAAAGGCGAACACAACTGCTAATAATTCTTTTTTCGTGGTGATTTAGTTGATCTGTGCCTCTATCAAAGTTTTACCGGCGTAATATATCGGATGCAGTAGCTTTTCTTTGCATTGAGCAAGGACTGCTTCCACAGCATAGTCGCTGGCATCACATATGAGTTCGAAAGGCTGTGTCCAATCTGGTGCTGTTATTATTGAAGCATGGGTGAGAACATGTTTCAGTGTTTCGAATGCCTGCAAACAGTCAGATGCGAAGTTAAATTCTTTATCATTTTCAAGTAAAGAACAAAGAGGTTTAAAGATTTTTGAAAAATCCTTTATAAATATGCGATAAAAACCGGCATGTCCCAGGAAGCTGCGTATGCCCTTGACATTCACAAGTGGGGGCAATTTCTTTTGCCTCTATCTTCGCCCTGTTTACTTCTATGCCCTTGCTGGAGACTCTGTGCCCTAGCACAATTCCCTCATGCACCATGAAATGACATTTCTCCCAATTCAATACTAGGTTTGTTTCTTCATATCTTTGCAGCACCTTCTTCAGATTTTCCAAGCATTCTGCAAATGACTTTCCAAAGACTGAAAAGTCGTCCATAAACACCTTAACTACTGATTCTACCAAGTCAGAAAAGATGGCCATCATGCACCTTTGGAATGTTGCTCGGGCATTGCAACGCCCAAAAGGCATTCGTCTGAAAGCGAACATTCCGTAGAGACAAGTAAATGTTGTCTTCTACTGATCTTGCGGGGCTATTGTAATCTGATTATACCCATTGTATCTGTCTAGAAAACAGTAGTACTCATAGCCAGCAAGTCTGTCTAGCATCTGATCGATGAAGGGAAGAGGAAAATGATCTTTCTTTGTGGCTTTATTCAACTTGTGGTAGTCCATACATATACGCGATCCTGTTACTGTCATCGTGGGTATCAAGTCATTCTTTGCATTCTCCACCACAGTCATGCCTCCTTTTTTAGGCACACACTGCACTGGGCTTACCCACTCACTGTCTAAAATATGGTATATGATGCCTGTGTCTTGCCATTTAATAATCTCCTTCTTCACTACTTCTTTCATTGCTGGATTACGCCTGTGTTATGGCTCTATGGAGTTCTTGCACGCTTCTTCTAGCATGATCTTGTGCATGCAAAAGCTGGGGCTTATTCCCCTAATATCAGCAATAGTCCATCCAATAGCCTTCTGATGGGCTTTTAGCACGCTCAACAACATCTGCTTCTTTTCCATGGGTAGGTCTGCTGCTATTATGATTGGCAAAGTTTTTGACAAACCCAAGTAAGCATACTTGAGGTGCTGGGGTAATGTCTTAAGCTCCAAAACTGGTGGTTCTTCTATAGACGACTTTAGTAATTTATACTCACGATTTTCCAGGTCTAGAGACTTGCGTATGCTCTTGGCTGATTTTTCGCTGTTATCTAAGTAAATAACCTCTGGGTCTTCCTCTATGTTGTCACGGCCGATTTAAGATTCGACAAATTYCAGATGCTTTAGCATGGCTTCTATTTCCAACTCTTCCATTAATGCCTCGTCCAGGATCTTTAGCACGGAACACTCTTTTGATTCAGTTGGGAATTTCATTGAGTCGTATACTGAGAATTTCACTTCTTGATCTTGAACTCGCATCGTCAGCCCTTCTTTGTGAACGTCTACCAGCACTCTTCTTGTCGCAAGAAATGGCCTCCCAAGGATGATAGAGACCTCCTTATCTACATCATAATCCAAAATAATAAAGTCAGCAGGGGAAATGAATTTATCAACTTGTACCAAGACATCTTCAATTTTTCATTTCGGATGGGTGATGGACCGGTCCGCAAGTTGGAATGTCACCATCGTAGGCCTTGCTTCTCCTATACCCAGCTTGTTATAGATGGATAAGGGCATGAGGTTGATGCTGGCTCCTAGATCACATAATGCAAGCCCTATTTTTTGTCCTCCAATGGAAACAGGTATCGTGAAACTTCTAGGGTCCTTCATCTTTGCTGGAATTTTGCTCGTGAGGATATTGCTGCAGGCCTTAATCATCGCCACAGTCTCATACTCTCCCAACTTTCTCTTCTTGGTGAGTATCTCCTTTAGGAACCTCACGTAATTCAACATCTGTTCTAGAGCTTCCACCAAAGGTATGTTTACATGTAGTTGCTTCAACACATCTCAGAACTTCTTGAACTGAACATTTTGCTCTTTCTTTTGCAACCGCTTAGGATATGATGGTGCCGGTCTGTATTCTGCTGGAGCATCTGCATGCTCTTTCTACTTTCTTTTCTCGAGCACTCTAGTCTGTGTTGATTTTGCCTTGGATGCATTGATCTTTACTGGGGTGACCTCTTCATTAGTGTTGTCCTGAACTCCCCTAGGTTGCTCCATGATTTGCACTGGCGGAAAGGGTAAAACTATCTCTACTAGCTCACTATTCTTTGCTATTTGAGATTCTCCTGATTCTTTATGAGTAGGCTCGCTCACTACCCCTGAAGCATTCGGGTGTGCCGGAGGTAATGCTTTGCCATTTCACAGTGTGAGAGCTTTACATTGCCTTTTACCATCCCTCTTTGGTACTTTAGTATCACTCGACAATGCTCCATAAGGTCTACTTTTCATATTAGTGGCTAACTGGCCTACTTGTAGCTCTAGATTTCTTAGTGATGCGACTTAGCTCTGCACAGTAGCGTCATTATTGGCCATATATTGTTTCATCAACTTTTCCAATGATGCAATTGTTCCTTATGCGGGCTTCTGAGCTACCACCTGACATTGACTAACAAATCCTGGGGGATAATTCCCTTTTTGCTGGTATGCTGGACCGTTGGATGTGTCAACATTATTTCCTCCCTGATTTCCACTCCAACTGAAATTGGGGTGATTTCTTCAGCTGGGGTTAGACGTGTTGGAATATGGGTTGTTTCTATTGTTCTATGGATTCCCCAAATAATAAACCGACTCTGGATTGCCAGGGCAATTATTATAATGATGGTCTCCTTCATAGAAAGATTAAGAAATCCCCTGACTGTGGCTAACATTACCAGTAGATGCTGCCACTGTGCTCTGCTGTGTCATGCTTCTCATCACTAAATCTGTCAAGTTTTCAATTTTTGAGTTCAAAGCAAAGTATGATTCAGATTCATTAAGTCCCTTACCTCCTCTACCTTGAATAGCTGTAAGGTCTGACCATGAATGGTTGTTCAATGATATTTCCAAGATATTGAATGCTTCAGAATAAGGTTTTGCTGGCAATGTGCCATTTGCTGAGGCATCGATGACCAGACGTGTAACGTCGTCCAATCGATTGTAATACGTTTCAATCTGGATGCACCTTGGGATTCCATGGTGAGGACATTTTTTAAGCAGTCGCTTGAAACGCTCCCATAACTCGCTCATTGACTCTCCAGCAAATTGCTGAAAGTTGTTAATATCGCTTCTCTACTTAGCGTTCTTGCTGGGTGGGAAGTACTTCATGAAGAATTTCTCGGCCAAGTCATCCCCACTTGTAATGAATTCTGAAGGTAGCGACTTTAACCAAGTCATGGCTTCATCTTTAAGTGAATAGGGGAACAACTTAAGCCGCAACACTTCTTTGTTGCATCCTTCATCCTTAAACGAATTGCATACCCCCATAAAAAACTTCAGATGTGAATGTAGGTCTTCAGTAGGATGCCCGTGAAACTGACCCACTGTCTGGAGCATCTGAAACATTACTGGTTTTAGTTCAAACTTTGGGGCTGCAATTTCAGGCTCCGTGATTACTGGGTTGAAATTATAAAATGCTGGAGCTACATATGCCCTGATCTCTCTGTCGATGTCATCTGCTAGTAATACAGCATTGGGGGGGGCACTGCTACCTCAGGGTCAGCAGCAACAGGAACCGTATCTACTATTTCCTCTATCCTCACATTCGGTGTAATAGGTTGGCGCATATTTGGGTTACGTGGATTTATATTTGCTTCAGCTTGGGTTATTCTTTGTTCTTATTGATTCCTATGAAATGTGTGTGATATTTCGTGGTCGATAACATATTCCAAGCTCTCAAAATCATTAATGCACCTACAACCAGACAAAAATGTGAGAAAAAGAAAACTCGATTAAGCACCGTATCTACAAACACTATTGTTTAAAATAGAATCACTAAGTCCCCGACAACAGTGCCACACAACCGTGCTAACAACACTTGCAAGTATACACGAAATTGATGCAAGATTTTGCCGTGGTACTGAAAACAACCTCGGAGGTCGACCGAATGCACTTAGACAATTCTCCGGGGTACCTTCAAGGAGATAACCACTCCGACGCCCAAGTGAGGATTCAAGCCGAGCTCAATAAGTAAGCATCAGATAGATTTTTCGTACCTGGGCCCATGGAGGGACTCGTCGAGTGACCGTTGGTCCCTAGCAGTGATCGGTCCGATTCCTACTCTAGAGGACGAGATCATGTGGTCACCCCATTCATCCAAGTTGTCAGGGCTGACCTGTTTGGTCGGCTTTTTTGGTTTCGTCACACCCCGGTTGGCCGTGCGTAGTCACCCCCAACAGTGGCCCCCTCTCAGTTCGGGTGGCGGGCTACCGACCTGAGAGACAAAAGGGGAGAGGTGGACGACTGGGATCCGCCTTTCCTTTCGAACTAGAACGGTGACGCGGACCAATCACGGGCTCCGAGAGCAACATTAAATGGCCACTTAAGAACTTTACGCTCGTCACGACTTTCGAGGTGCTCTTGAGCACTTAACCACCGTCCCGTTTCTGATCCGAGCCGTTCGACCTAGGACACATGTAAGATTCAAATTGTGTCCCTTTGCATATATATATGCTCGTGGGCTTCTTCTTCATTTCACATTTTCAAGACTTTTCCAACTCTCCGTCGAGGTTAGTAGCTCATCTTCTTCTCTGTAAATTCGCCTTAACTTAGCAATGTCTGATAGGTGTAGCGGTAGTTCTAGGTCTAGGAGGGCGAGCTCAGAGGAGAGCTTTAGGTCGCCCTTAGGAGAGTCCTCTCTGCCGCCTCTCCCAGCGGCAGGGTGCACGCCGA